ACTACTATACAAATATGAGATCCATATCCGAAATGAATAACCCTAACCTCTGTGCGCTCCATTTAATTCACCCTTGAGAGCTAGAAGCAGTGAAGTCACCACGACAGGCATCCAACCATCACTCAACTTATCTCCTTGGCTCAGATTTCTGGCAACTGAGCAGGCAGGAGCCGCCCACGGTTTCCAAGATAAAGAAAAGAACCTTCTTCCCACAATCCTCAACATTTTTTTAGTTTATGTTCAATCGAAGCTCAGGGGAATATGCACAATCTAGGGTTTCTTTCATCCTAGGCATTGATGCCAAGAAAGAACACGAAAAAGATAAAGGGGAGGTCGGCGCCCACAAACAACTGCAAATTGATCGAAAAAGAAGTTATCGACAGGAGATCAACTTTCAAATACTGCACCTATGTGTGAGGAAACCTAGTTACATGGAAAAGTATGAAACAGAATGCGGTTGCAAGGAGTAGTGTTGAGAAAGAATATAAGGCTATGACTAATGGAGTATGTGAGATGTTATGGTTGAAAAGAATTCTTGAAGAGTTGCAGATCCTAATAGACATGTCACTAAAGTTATATTGTGAAAATAAAGCGATCATAAGCATTGAAGAAAGTCGTGCGCAGCATAATCGCATAAAGTATGTGGAAATTGACACACTTCATAAATAAGAAGATTGATCGTGAAGTTATTTGCATGTCTTTTATCCTTACTGATAAAAAAATACTGATATTTTCGCCAAAGGACTGTTCTAGCCTAATTTTGTGGTTCTTTTAAGCAAGTTGGGCATCACAGATATCTATGCTCCAACTTAAGGGGATGTTGGATTTTGAAAATCTCCTGTTATTAGTATTTTCTATTTTTAGTATCTCATAATTCTTATTTACTTCTTTTATTGTGAGAATTAGATATTATTGTTTTCTCAATATGAGAGTCATCCTCCACTATGTAACTTGTAATCATTTTTTTCTATAAAATTGAAAAAGAATAATTATTTTCGCTCTCCCAAAAACAACAAAAATCATATGATTGTTTTCAATCAAAACACAAATGACTCATAAACCTTGAGGAAAAACTAAATGTAGACAAGCATTGACAAAAACAAATACATCAACACGTTTACCTAAAGATACAGAGTATGCTTATTATAACATTTTAAAGACAAAGCATCCTAAGATTAGTAATTAGTAATAGCAACTCAGTATCTAGTAAAACAAGGTCGAGAGGTAAATCAACCTAAAAGAGAATGTTTTTAGATTTTATAATAAAATCAAATATGACAATTGATGTGATCAATGATCGTAAAAATATCATCAGCTAGAAAAAACTTAAATTTCACATTAATTTCCTAAAATTTTCCCACTACTTAATCATCTGTTGCTATTTCCCTAACCTGCCACCAAATGTTTGAAGGGAGATTTACAAGCATACCACGTAATTTTTATGTATTATATACTAAAATCTAAACTTTAATATTTACTTATATAACACTTTGCTGTCTAAATTGCATCGAAATATAAGCATGAAAAGTTGTGTTTCATTTTATAAAAAGTTAATATTTGCAGAATTTTGTATTTAATTTAAAATTTTGAAAGTTATATAAGTAAATATCAAATTTTAGGTGTTAGATATAAAAATATCTAAGATTCATGTGGTATGTATGTAAATCTCAAATGTTTCAAATAACATGAACAATCAAATCAGACATATTGCATCAAATTTATGGACAATTAGATTGGTAGAACCAAGGCCCAAGAAATCTACGAAAGGTTTCAAGAAAAAGCGAATAGACTACTGAACGGGGTGCACCGCATCCTGAACACAACAAGGGGAAATGCCTGAACCAATGGTGTTTATAACGCCTTTGCCCGTAATTTCAAAATGGCATTTGCCCATTAATATGGAATCCATTTGAAAGATTTAGACTTTCACTTCTCAAACCATTTACACCTCCCATATTCCATCACTTTGCAAGTCATTAAGCTTCACTTCTCAGAAAGAGGAGCTAATCCCATTCAAAATAGTGTAACATTCTAGCATTTTTCTGCTATGTACATTCAAGAGGTGGCAAACCTCTCAAAACTATTTTAGCTGATTGGCCTTCAAAGCTTCACCAATGTGCATGACATCATCACTTTCAATGCAATGTATCTAAGTCATCCGCCCAAGACATCATCAACAGTATCTACAACTATTAGATTCTATTGAACTATCTTCTATTGCCATATATATCGTTTTGATTGGGTAAGCCTATGGGCAGCATCACCTGCTAAAAGTTTGTGCGATCTCCACTATCCAATAATTATAGCGATGATTAATATTTTAAACAAGAGGAAATATCACTGGTAAAGGATATAAAAAAAAGCTCATTCGAGAGGTTTTTTCTACAAATGAAAGATCTCTGAAGAAATGTTCAATAACAATTTACGTAGATGATCATCTTGCTGCATACAAAAATAGTAATCGTGTCACTCATCATCCTTTTTACATGGGACAACACTTGTCAATTGTCCACAATGCCCCCTAAACTCTAACGAAAAGGCTACTAGAGACAAAATTGTTCATTTTATCTAAGGAAATTATCTAAGGAAAAAATCAACCTAATCAACACAAACTCTTGCTACATTTATAACTACCATTAAATGATTAACCTTGGGGCCTTCGACATCAATTATTTTGACTAAGAGCAATTGTATAAATGTCACTTATATACTATTTTTTCTACCAAATAATATTTTTTTATAGGCAAGGCTCATTAAGTTTTCACCTCAAAAATTTTAAAAATAAAAATAAAATATTTTTATACTTTGAACGTGCTAAGAAGCTCTAAGCAATGGAGAAGAATGTCCTCAAATTCTACAATGATGTGCTAATGCCATTTGTCGGAACCTTCATTCCTTAGTTGACTAACAATCAATAATCATTCGAATGCACAAACACAATTACCTTTATCAACTTATCTCTTTCATGCATCCACTTCAACTAACATAAAAGTCATACTTTTTCTAACTACGAACAAATGAAACACGTTTATCATTTTTCTTTAGGAGCAACATCCCGGTCAACATATTAGGTAAATGCCACAAAAATTCAAATAGAATGAAGTTGCATTAAAATGAAATTAACCCACATAAAAAATAGTCGACCACTTCTCATAGGGAAGAAACACACCCCTTGGCCAACGGGTACTTCAACCTCCTTTCGCTCATTCAAAGGGATCAGCCCTAAACTCCTCTCTCCATTATTTTTTTCCCAAAGTTTGCTTAAGTGTGAGATCTTATAAATATGTTGGTATGATGGAATGAAAAGATAGATGATATTTTGACAAATTTTGGAGAGTTCTTGCCTTAGAGAAGGCTTGGTAGTTGATTCACCATACTTAGAACTTTTGCTTGGCACCATTTCTCATAATGCTTTTTTGGTGAATGAGAAATTGGTAGTTGATTCACCATACTTAGAACTTTTGCTTTTTTGGTGAATGAGAAGAGTTATCCTCTTCATCCCAACATTCATTCAATGTCAGCCTTCTTCATACTTTCCCCCTCACTTTTCTAAGCCATTATTATAGCCTCCATAAGTCTCAAAGCAAACTACAACCCTCATTGGTACTCTCGTCCAAGATAAGGTTTCCTAGACTTCATCTTGGGATTTCTCCATTCACAATTCCTTATTCCTCAATGACTGTGTTTGCCAAGTCAAGATAAAGACTCCACAAATTCACCTAGCCATTCCAAGTCATTTTAGCACCTAGAGTTTTCTCTAGCCTTATCCCCAAAGTTTCTTAACACTAATTAAGCCCATCAACATCCCTCACCAAAACAGCAAGGGGTCTCCAATACATTGATGACATCCATCTTCAACAAATTTAAGCTTTGATGGTGCTCCATTGCAAGTCCACATCAAACCATCGGAAGCCATACAACATTCAAGACTGCAGCATGTAAGATAATATAGTACATGCCGATTTTACCATAAACACTACTCAAGATATCCATGGAGATAGTCAGCCTAGTCCTCAAACACATCTAGAATGTTTAAAATAACATGTATAAGGAGTAATCTTCGAGACCTTGATGCCACCTTAGGTGGCCGAAGATATATCTTTTACTGAAATCCCACCAATTGCTCGGAGGTGGATCATAATTGTACTAAGTTATTTTAAAGGGATGATTACATGCACAACACTTAAAATATTGACATTTACAAAACTAGCACCCATGTTATTTTTTTAAAGTATCGAACTGATGCTTTCATGTGTGTCAAGATCAAACTATGTAGAATTTGATAAAAATGAATAATATGGATTGGAATTTTATCATGAATTTAATATTTGAGTGAGAATTAGAAAAATAGATTAAATAGGGTGCAACATTTGTAAATAATAATGTTTCAGTGCTATATATGTAATTGCCCCAATTTTAAAATTGCAGATCTCTACACCTAGACTAAGCCCCATAATTGTTTTCCTAGAGAGTTTTGTATCACTTTTGTCTCATAGATATTATGAGCATCTCTAGGATGAGATAAGGTATTATGGGCTTTTAAAAATAATAACCAAACTTTATATATAAATAGCTAACCTACGGCATGTTTTTTATCAATGTATTATTAGTATTATTAGTGAGTTGAGACTCCAAACTTTGCTAATTCTTACTCTAGCCAGCATTCCCTCTCTCCCTGTCCATTTTGCCATTTTCTCATTCCTCTCTTTCAACTTCACAGCCCAATCTCCCTCTTCATCTTCATCCTCTATTCTCCTAAATTCTTCCCATCCAACAATCAGCCTCCACCAAACACCCTTCATATAGTAGGAAGGGTAACATATCCTCCTTCAACCATCAATCCCACCAAAAAGAAGAGAAGAACTACAAATCTGCAATAAGACTACATCAACTCCAAGAGGAACTAGTAAACATCGGAAATATTCATCAATTTGAACAAGCAATCGAGATATCATTCAATTACAAATATGATATCTATATCCGCAATGAAGAATCCTAACCTCTGTACACTCCATTGAAATCACTCTTGGGAGCCAGAAGCGGCGAAGTCCCCACGGCAGGCATCCAACCATCACTCAACTTGTCTCCTTGGCTCAGATTTCTCGGAGCAGAGCAGGCAGGAGCTGCACACGGTCTCCAAGATAAAAAGGAAAACCTTCTTCCCGCAATCCTCAGCATATTCAATCGAAGCTCAGGGGAATAAACGCAGTTTAGGGCGGGGAGTCGATGCCAAGGAGGAACACGGAAATGATAAAAGGGAAGAAGGTCGGGTGCGCAAACTGGTGGTTTCGATTAAATTGATTAAAAATTTTGTTAAAAAATATTACAAACAAAATTAAATTAAAGTACTCACAAAATTAAACAGGTCAAATAAGATGTAAAATTATACCAAAATATAATTTTATTTTTTAAATTTAATTTGATCTAATTAAAATTTAAAACATTAATGAAAATGTATATTCAGCCAATTAAGATTATGCATTTTTACATATGGAAGCTCTCTTAAATGACGTTATGTACTATAAAGGCTTCCAAAGATTAAGGGAGAGTATGGAGGTTATATCAGCGTTATACCTCTGTAACCTACCTGAAATGTGCATGTAACTTACAGCGGAACTTACTAGTACATGTAGTTTACAGGAGATATAACACGGATATAACCCTCAATACGCTCGATGTAACCTACCTGACGTACGGGTATGCAAATTTTTCTCTGTTTGGGGTGACTTATTTGTGCTGAAAACGCCGCCGAATTGTTTGTTTCGTGCGATTTAATTTGTGTCGTTTTGGTTTAATGAATAAATGCGCCCTCGGGATTGACACTGCGGCCCCCCTTCGCTCGCAAGCTTTAACCCCGCGGCTCACCCCTCATACGTGCTCGATACTCCGCTGGTTTCGCCTTCGTGAACGAAACCTACGTTATACATTCGACATTAGAGCTAGTTGGGAAGGAAACGAAGGGATCGCCACAGTGGATCACAGGGTTGTGCGGCTCGGTTTCGCGAGAAGAAGCAGGGAAATTAAGGGTCCTCAGTGAATTCGTGCGGCTTGGAGAGGACGAAGCGGAAACGAGGGAAGTATTAACAATTCAATTCAATTCAATTACTAACCCTTCCTAATATCCAAATAAATATAACCAATTATAAGATCAGTAAGATTGCATGATCTTGAATTTTATGTTGATAATGTATAAATGATTAAAAAGTTCATTAAAGTTTATGAAATTTCCACTAAAATATTATAATTAATCATATGTATTTATCATACTATATTACTATTGATACTATTTTTCTCATAAGCATTTGGATCTAAAAATACCTTTAGAATCTTTAATCCAATTAAACCCCCCTTAATATCCAAGAGAAGAATGTTTTTAAATTGAGAGCAACACTTTTTGTAACTATTTTTTTATTGTATACATAACAATATTATACTTGTAGATGGGCAGAATGATCATTTATCCAGAAACAGTTGCAAATCAATTATTTTCCAAACGCACAAACTAAACAATCAGCAAGCAGAATGATCATTTATCCAGAAACAATTGCAAATCAGTTATTTTCCAAACGCACAAACTAAACAATCAGCAAGCTTATCCAGATGAGTTGTTGATCAACAGCTTATCAGGATAAGCAACTTATCTAGATAAGCTACAGCTGCCCCAAATAGACAAACCATCTCCAAACCGCCATTCTCCATTGTTTTCATGCTTCGTAATTCCTCCTCGCCGCCACCTTCTCCTCCAAGGGCCGCTGAGCTTTTTCGTAAAACCACAACTGGTCTTGCTACTCCCATCTTAGCCAACTATTGAAGGAAGCTCAGACCAAACTCGCCCACTGTCTTTTCAATGAACATAGTCGTAACAGTAAACTTTAAGCGTGAATTTATGGAAGCTTTTATAGTAAATAACATTATTTAAAAGTTTCCATATGTAAAAACCCTAAAATCAGTTAATAATCCGATTTGTTAAACTATCTTATTGATGATTTTAATTTAATCACAAAATAGTACGAATTTTCGGTTTGATTAAATTTTTATTTCCAACGAAAAAATAATCTAAAATTTAAATAACTCTTAGTTTGAAATTAAAAAAAAAATTAGAACTTCATAAACTAAACAAAATCATCAAATATGCTCGATTTGACAAGGGATTTTTTATTTTAATCAATTAATGCACGCCTCTAAAAACGATTGTAAATTTAATTTTGTCAATTTAAGAAACTAATATTTATATTATTTTCTAATCAGTTAACTCATGTCTTTGAAATTGCTAAATTAGTAGAAATTTGATTAAAAAAAACTGATTAAAATATTGTATTGAATTTTAATATTTGTGTGAAAATTAAAAAATCTATATAGAAAAGTGTTAGTTTACAAGCAAAAACTTTAGCATTACATATGTAATTGCCTATTTCATATTTAATAAATTATATATTTATTTAAATAGGGTAATAATCTTTTTAACCATATTAAAAATACTATTGATATTGGTTTATCTAAAATAAAAAAAAAATTATGAATAGATTTTGAATGTGATCCTTTTTTCATACATACATATACATACATACATACATATACATACACACATATATATATATATATACACCTGTTCTCTTTGCAACTAATAAACATATAGTTGATTACTTTGATTAGGACAGACATTGATGTTTTCTCACTTTCTAGAATTTTTTCACATAAAAAATCATGGTATCTCCATGTGCCACTTCTCTTCTATCTGCGCGTGTTAGATCTTCGTGCAACACAAAGATTTTAAATTATTACTTTGCTTTTGAGAATTTTTAAACACACAACATTAGTATTTCCCAACAACAACAACAACAAACCTTTATCCCACTAAATGGGGTCAACTAATGAATCCTTTTTTCTCCATTGCATCTTATTGAGTGTCATATTTTCATTTAATTTTAATAAATTAAGATCATTTTTTTTTACAATATTCCTAAGTTCTAAGTTTTTCTAGGTCTACCTCTGACTTTTTTAACATAAGTCAAATCTAAAACATCAACTCTCATAATCAGATCATCAAATGGTCGATGTTTAATGTGGTTAAACCATCTAAGATGACTATCTCTAATTTTGTCTGCCACTAGAGCTACACCAACCCTATCACAAATATATTCATTTCACATTTTGTAGCTAGGTGTAAAGTCACTCATCCACCCAAGTATTCTCATCTCCACAACACTTTACTTAGATTTATGCTTCTCTTTTAAAGACCAACATTCAACACCATAGAGCATTGTAGGTCTCACCACCATCTTATAAAATTTTTCTTTCAGTCTAAGCGGTACTTTTCTATCACACAATAGGCCTGAAACATTCTTCCACTTCAACCAACCAAATTGAATTTTACTAATAACATCCCCCATCTATATCACCATCACTTTTAACTATGGACTCGAGATGTCTAAAGTGTTCACATCTTTTAATAATTTGACCACCTATGGTTACAACTCTGTCCCTAGAGCTGCTACTACTAAAATTGCATACCATGCATTTAGTTATTCAGTTTTAGTTATGCTCAAACGAAGATCTTTAGATTCCAATGTAGACCTCCTAATTCAAGTTTATCCTGAGCTTTTTTTTTCTATTCTTATCCACGATAAGGATATCATCGGGGAAAAGAACACACCAACGTACATCCCCCTGTAAATGTCCAATAAGAGAATCCATAACTAAAGCAAAAAGATATGGGCTTAAAGCCGATCCCTGATGTACTCCAACTGAAATAGAAAAATATTTGATCAAACCTCATTTTGTTCGAGCACAAGTAACAACGCTAGTATGAATATCTTTAATCACTTGAATATAAGTCGTATAAATAGTTTTCTTCTCTAGAACCCTTGAAACGATATCTCTTGGAATCTTATCGTGAGCTTTTTTTAAATCAATAAAAATCATATGTAGATCCTCCTCATTCTCTCTGAACATCTCCATCAAACCTCTCAATAAATGTATAGCTTCCATAGTAGACCTACTTGGCATAAATTCAAATTGATTATGAGAAAACTTTGTAATATGTCTTAACCTATGTTCAATTACCCTCTCTCGTAATTTTAAAGTACGAAATATCAACTTAATTCCTCTATAATTTGTGCACTCTTGTGCATCCCCTTTATTCTTAAAAGTTAGGACCAAAATACTCTTCTTACACTCCTTAGACATCTTTTTAGTTTTTAATATAATATTAAGGAGTTTAGTAAACCAAGAAACCCTCAAATATCATATATATTTTCACACTTCACTTGGGATATTATAAGGTTCTACAGACTTTCCACTCTTGGTTTTCTTTAAAGCCTTCTCAACTTCTTTTGCACTAATGTGACGGTAAAAATGAAACATTTTATTATTATTAATGATATTAAGATCACTAAGATCGATCATATTTTCAGAAACTTCATTAAAAAGTTTATCAAAAGAACTCACCCACATATGTTGACACCCACAAACTCACCCACATATGTTGAATATCTTTTTCTAAGAAAATCACTTTTTTATTTTCATCTTTAATGCACTTTATTGGAGTTAATTCTTTACTTTTCTTTTATCTTTATTTGACTAGTTTATACATACAATTTTCACCTTCTTCAGTATCCAATCTATTACAAAGATCACTAAAAGCAGAATGTTTAGCGTAACAGATTGTTCTTGTAGATTCCATACTGACTATTTTATATTTTTCCCAGTTTTATAAGTTTTTTACATTTAAACTAATTTTTTTACATTTAAACTTAAACTAATTTTTATAACATAACTCCTTACATTTTATCTTTTCTTGCATATTATTATTCCACCACCAACTATTTTTATTTATAAAATTTTTTTCTTTTGATTCTCCAATTACATCTTTCGTTACTTATTTAATAATGTTTGTTAATTTATCTCAGATAGAATTTGCTTCTTCACGAACATCCCAAATCTTGAAATCTTGAAACCCTGAAGTTTACTCATAAAAATAATTTTATTTGTGTCTTTTGGTGCCCCCTTCTAATTCTACCACAATGACTCCTAGTATTCTTTATTTTACAACTCTTTATTTTAAAATCTAGAAATAATAATTGATGTTGAGTACTTGAATACTCACTTAGAATGACCATACAATCTTTACATTCTCGATGATATCTTCTTCGCATAAGAAAATAATTCATTTGTGTTTTATTAGATCCATACTTATAAGTAATAATATGCTCATTTCCTTTCTTGAATAAAATATTAGCAATAATAAAATCATACGTTGAAGCAAAATCTAAAATGGCTCTACCTTCTTCATTAATCACTCCAAAATCGTAGTCACTAAGAATATTTCTAAAATCTTCTGCCACTCTACTAATATGTCAATTTAAATCTCTTCCAATAAATATTTATTTTTCAAGATGTATCATTTGTATTAAGTCTTATGACTCAATCTTTACGCCTACTTGAGGAGCCCAAGGAGTTATAACATTAAAAAAACTTAGTATCAATAATAATCTTAAGGGTAATACTTCTATCTCCAATTATATTAATTTTTGCAACATTATCTTTCAAACTCTTATCTATACACCATTTCTAGTGCGACTCTTACCTAAATATTAATGTTTAAAACCTAAGTTATTAATTTTCTTAGCATTTTCTCCAACCCATTTAGTTTCTTGAATACAAACGATATTTATCTTTCTATGAATCATAATATCAACTAATTTTATTGATTTGTCTGTGAGAGTACCTATATTTCAAGATCTTATTCTAATATTAGTTTCATGGACTAACTTCTTTGTTCGCACCTGTTCGTAATGCGATAATCACCATTGCTTATTTGACACTACACTCAGACACCGATGTAACGACCCTTGCACACTTCATTGTATTCAGGTCATACACCGGGCTGCTTCCAAGGGACGCCCGAACATTTACACAATGAGCGAAAGAATTCATATCATGATTTTCGAGAAATTTTACGATTGATGACTATCTAACACAACCCTCCACTTTTCACACCCGGGACTTGAGACTCGATAACAACATTGTTCATTAATATTTAAAAAAAAAAACTGAAATGTTGTTTGAAATTGTTTTCTTTTCATTTATATTTAAAAAAATGATTTTTTAAATTATATTTATAATTTTTTTTTTGAAAATAAATCAAATTATTTTCAAATAATACTTAAAACAATTTTTATAAACTTTTTATTAGTATGTTCCTATTTTTTTTCAAATAAAAACCACCTCAACATGTTGCTTATTGGCCATCAATGCATATACTATTGTCACCGCCCACTACCCACCACCCACAACCCACCACCATTATCCCTAGCATCCATAGCCACTAGCACTACTACTAGCCTACTCCTTGCCACTCATCACATAAATTGAAGTAATATTTAGTAAAAATAAAAATAACCACCATCTAAAATATTTAATTTATTTTTATTTAAAAGAAAATAAAAATAAATAAAATAAAACAAAATAAAAAATCAAGGTAAAAAATTAATACCAAAAGGCCTTGACTTTTATGTCAAATTCTCTGTCTTCAACAAAAGAGCTGAAGTCCATGTATCCAGAAGTACATTATGTTACATATACCAACTATTTCCTTCAGAAAGTGAACAATAATACTCACCCTAATCACCAATAGTCCCCACAAGAGCAAGCCCCATTCTCAAACCTGTGGAACCTAATCCTATCCCGGACAATGATCACCCGCCCCAACACCGTACAGACCACCTTCATCCACTCATGGCAGTCCCAGCAAGTCCGCAGGTTCTTCGAAACCCGAATATCTTCCACTCCCTCCCCTCCATTACTCATCACACAATAAGCCACAGCAAGCTTCTCACTGTGACTGCTCAAAGTTTCCTCCTTTTCTTCCTCAGAAACATCTTTCGTCGCCACTTCAGTGTTCGGCACGTATCCTTCCTCCTTAGCTCTCCCCATCAGCTCCCCTAACACCCTATAAATGTCGTCGGAAGTGCGGCGCGATCGGTCTCCGGCCTTGAACTGCAGAACTCTGCCATCCACCTCCACCCAGCTCAATCCCTTCCCCTTCCGCACTCCGTTCTCCTTCATCACTCTCCACACTCCCTCAGCCTTCTCCCAATCCTTAGCCGACGAGTAGATGCTCGAGAGGAGTACATAATCCCCACTGTGGCACCGCTTCATCTTCCCCATCAACATCTCTGCAACATCCCAACGGCCGTTCCTTCGACAAGCTCCGAGCAAAGCTCGCCAAATTGCAGAATCTGGTGCAAATGGCATGTCCTTTATGATCTCGTAGGCGGCGTCCAGTTGCCCGGCACGCGCCAGGGCGTCAACCATGGCTCCGTAGTGTTCCAGTTGTGGCTTGATGGAGAAATCTCGCTGCATCGAATCGAAGTAGAAGCGAGCTTCTTTTACCATGCCGCAATGGCTACATGCGGTTAGGATCCCTACGAAGGTGATTTTGTCAGGAAAAATAGCTTCTTTGGTCATTGAACAGAACACCTGGAGAGCTTCTGACCCACGTCCATGGATGGCCAGACCAGTGATCATGGCATTCCAGATAGAAACGGAGAGGGAGAATCTCTTTACTGAATCAAAGATGCGTCGAGCGATATCGATCTTTCCGCACTTGGAATACATGTCGATTAGAGCCGAGCAAAGAAAAGGGTTGGATTCAAAACCAGTTTCTTTCTCGGTCATCAGCTGGTGAATCTGCTGGCCGTTGCGCAGCGCGCCGGCACGAGCACAGGCGGACAGAGCTGTTGAGAAAGAGAAGCAGTCCGGCTCAACGCCGGCGAGCATCATCCGTCTGTAGAGACTCAAGGCCTCCAGAGGTCGCGAGCTCCTAACCGCGGCAGTGATCATGGAGTTCCACGAGATCTTATCCCGCACGGGCATTCTGTTGAACACCTTGTAGGAGCTGTCAATGTCTTCCTTTCGCAGAAAACTCATGATCAGTAAATTCCCATGGAAGGGGTCGGGGTCTTTGTCAAGAATTTCGTCGAGCAGTTGCAGGGCATCGGTCAAAAGATCCCTGGAGAGATAAAGCTGAAAGAGAAGAGGCGAACGAGAGCTGAGCCATTGGAGGCCGAGTTTAATGAACCAGACGTGGACTTCAGATGCGTTGGAGAGGTGGGGAGAGATGGTGGAGGCTTGGAGGAGTAGGGCGAGGGTGCGGTGGTCCGGCCGGAGGGCGCCGCATGCATGCAGGGATTTGAAAGCGAGGAAGGCATTTGTGGGAGAGCCTTTCTCAATGGCGGAGCGGATGATGGAGTTACAGAAGGACGGGAGTCGTTCTTTCGCAGTGCGGCATTTCGTCGAACAGGTGGCGGGCTCAGTCAGTGAAGCCAATTGACGACGACACGAGAGCAGCGCGAGCAGCATTAATTTGTGGAGAAACGGCTATTACTACCCTATAAGTAAAAAAATATGACATCATGACTCAGTGAAGCCAATTGACGACGACACGAGAGCAGCGCAAGCAGCATTAATTTGTGGAGAAACGGTCATTACTGCCCTATAAGTAAAAAAAATATGACATCATGACTCCTCAAGTAGAGTTACGTGCGGAATTCAATGAAATCACGTCATATATGAAGATGAGAAAAAAAAATCAGTCCGGTAACATAGAGGAATATTTCCCTCATGTTATTCAGGTGTTATTGTATGTTATTCATGCGTTATTGATGTGTTATTGTGTTATTATAACACCAGAAATATTTCCAGAACACAATAATACATGAATAACATACAATAACACCTGAATAACACGGGAGGAATATTTCCCTGTGTTATCGAACCGATTTTTTTTCTCACATTCACGTGTGTGATGTGATTTCATTGGACTTCGCACAAAACTCTACTTGCGGAGTCTAATATTTTTTCGGGGATAAGTAGTTTGTTATTGTACAAGACAAGGGGAAGGATAAGAGATTTGTGTTAAATAATAAAAATATTATACTAATAAATATGATAAAAATAAATATATTAGATTAATGCAACTTATTTTTTATGTAAAAATGAACATAAATTGATAACATTCAAATAAATATGTGTAAAAAGATTGCATGAATTTCTTTATATTTTGTATATTTTTTGAATGAAATTGCACTTTAAAGAAATATATTTTTATATTTTTCTTGCAGGTATAACAAGTATTAGGAGTAGAACAAAGTGGAAGAAATATGAATCAAAAAGGAGAAGATTTGGAGTAAAATGCATTTGTGAGGGCCGAGGTAGGCGCCAAATAGTGGGCGCTTAGGCACCAACCAAGCTATGACAGCCTAATAAATCTAATCAGCATGGAGATGAAAAATAAATTTCATACAATGCAGATCACATCACATGCCTCTAATTTTTCATCAATATCAACAAATAATATCATATTACGTATCTAATGTAATATCATATCATGATATATTATTACATATTTATTGCAATATAATTAGAGACCTTATTATGCATATTTGTTTAATTAATATGTTTTTTAACAAAATTCAAATCAAGCATCAAAGTTCAGCTAGCTAGAAAAATCTTCACAATTATGATTCATGTAATGAGTAAACATTTTCAAATCTTAGACTTACTTCAACATGTAATATTTAAAACTCCATCCAATGTAAAGTCTCACATAATTCTTAAATTGTAATTAGGATAATATCTACATATGTATATTGAGTAACTAATGACAAGATTTAAAACTTGGTGACTCCATATAGTAATTTTTTTTAGGGTTCATTTGGGTATTTGCAGCTATCTATAATGGATATATATATATATATATAAGGTGTTGTACATATTATAGAATTTTTTTTAGAAAAATGATAACTAATGGCATATTTGGGGCAGCTATAAGTTATTAAAAAACAGTTTTGATGCTGCTGAAGAATAATTTGATGTTTAAAAAATTGCAGTGACTATCACAAATTTTTTTTTTTTTTGAAAAAGTCATACTGCAGCTAAAAAACTATCACCGCACCTTACCATGACTGGTGGGAAAACACAGATTTCAGCAATAATTTTTTGAAAAAGATATCAAAATGCAATTTACCCAAATATACAAAATTACGATGCGGTGTCGTACCTCTACAACCTCAAACGGACCCAAAATAGCTTTAAAAAATATTTTTTATTTAGAACAAATTTTCAATGAGTCTCATAGAAAGTTCTTCAAATCCCCCAAACAAAATTTTAATCTTTATCAAAATATCTTTCTTAGCCTTCCCAATCTTCCTTAGATAAATTCTACATAAACATAAAATGATACCTAATATTTAATCTCACATATTCTTATGTGAAGCATTAGTAAGTCTATAACAAAGACATTTATTTTAAAATATTTATGCAATCTTGTTTGGAGCAAAATAATTTATTGATGGATGAGTACCATGTCCCTTATAAAAGTACAATTTCTAGTTAAAAAAAGCAAAAATATTTTAATACCAATAATATATTCACAACATTTAAAATTCTCAATGGCATCATTATTAAGAATTTTTTCTTGTAAAACTATTAATTTATCATAATAAGTTTAGATTAGGGTTGAGGCTTCCTTTTTGTAATGGACTGGTTGACATATTCAACTTCTATAGTGTAATCCCAATAAAGGTGATGTTGAATTGCTTTGCTTGTATTACAACCATTACAAACATAAGGTTCCCTGGTTGATGTCTCTAATCCATCACATGTTCACCATTAAAGTGTAAAAGGATTGACCTGTCTTCTTCTTTGTAATAGGAATTAAGTTATATAGTCTAGAGAAAAAAATATTTAAAAAATTGAAAAATTAGGTATTGTTAGACAAGTTATCCTCACTACTCCACAAATACACCTTTTACTGAATAAAAGGCGACTAAGAAAGAAGCTATAGAGAAAGAGGTTTTATTGCGTCCGGACACCGGGCGTAAATTTGCATCAGGTGTCTAATTAAATCGAACGTAATACATTTTTTTTAGAATGAGACCCACTCGAATTTTTCATCCGTTTTAATTGGATACCGGACGCAAATATACACCCGGTGTATGGACATAATAAAAAATCATAGAGAAGAGTGTGGAATAGGTCCTTCTAAAGAAGAAAAGGGAACTTGGCGACAAGTGAAAGGTTATTACTGAAGACCCTAAAAGTGCAACTCGCTCTAGTTATGCTTTTGTGCGTAAAAGAATGTACCACACAAATTTTAAAGATGTTTATTTAAATGATTGAATGATACATTAAAAATAATATATATCTCAAAAGACAAAATTCATCTTATAATAGATTTACTCACTAAATAAAGATGTCAAAATTAATGAATCTACGTGAACCAAAGATTTTTTTCATACGTAATTTTGGTAAGAGAAATTATTTTAAATATCAGTATAGGGTCCCTAAGGGGGCAAAACTCTATAATTAATTATATCTTCAAAAAAAATTATCTCATAAGAATACTCTTGATTAAAGTAGGGGCTCATGTCTCTATGATTCAAAATTTAATTTTTAAGATTACTATTTCAGAAATTCAAATGATATAGATCAAATTGGAACAGTTTTTTTCTGGATTCCAAAGGAGAAAAGGAAAGTAATGCTCAAGTACTGAGAAAATGAATAGCGCTCTATTTGACATCAAGCTTTATATTTTTTAAATTGAGATTTACTTTTGTTTGAGTTATTCATTTTACTAGAATGTTAAGACTTATATTCAAATAACATACGATCATAAAAAATCTTTGGAGGTGAGGACTTGAGACATAGATGATAATCTATCTCAAAACCCAAATAAAGTGAGAACTATTATCACAATATATTCTCAAACTTATCATAATGGTATGAAATGTACTTATAAAGCAAAGTCTGACCCTTTGAACTAGTGGTTGAGAGCTTTGTTTTTCAACTAAGAGGTATTGGGTTCAATGACTTGTGTATGCGATGTGTATGCATTTGGATGTATGAGTGGGGGGAAGAGATGTTTGACTCTTTGGCCTTAGAAAACTACATAGGAAAGGACTATCAACCAATCCCACCTAATTGTCTAGAAATCATGAAGTATGATCTGATGAAAGTAATATAGGTAAGGTTATTAATTATTAAAGAAAAAATAAGCTTTATAGCCTTAAAATTTGATCACAAGAATCAAGTTGTCTAACTATGTGATGCTTTTAGATATTACAAAATTTTAGAATTTATAAATTTTTAATTATTTGATATATTTTGAAGGCTATGGGTATGCAACTAATGCAAGTATACATGCACTATATTTTAAATTTTGAAGGAAAATTATAAATTTAAGCAAACTTCCCTAGAAAGAACAACTGTCCTCACTAGTGAAATACCCCCTTATGTGTAATGGGTGAAGTGGAGGAAGGGAAGAAAGAGTCAAAATATAAGTGCATATGATTTAATTACTTCTAAAGTTTCTAATGAATTTTATTGATCGATTTTTATTGTTTTTTATTGATTTTATTTTAAAATATTAATTGATTTTGAGTTATTAAATTGGGTAGAAATATAATCCTAAGAGCCAATTATACAACCATCCATGCCAAACATAATCAAGTGAAGAAACCTAAGATAAAAGTATGTTATTTAAGTGAATAATCAAAATAACACACAATCAAACACACACAAATAGAAACAAAGAATCCAAAAATATAGCAAGATAAAAAGTCAACGCAGCCATGTATCACAAAATATCCTGAAAGTAATAGAAAACATTGACATCCAAGCTCTGCCTTCATACAACTTAATCTAGAACTAAGACTAATAGATGAGCAAGTTGAATTTGTAGTTCCTCCGCTTCAGCTCATTAAGCATCACGAAGCTTCATTCGTAAATCATTTGAAATTACCTGCTTCTCAGAGTTTATCCTAGCTCATCTTCATTCATCCCTATTTTTACTCAGTTCAGTTCATTTGATTAAAATTCATCTTCATTTATTCAGGTTTAGGATCACCTTTTGATATCCACATACCTTAATAAAAGGCTCACCTAAACTTTATAAATAGACTCCCAAAGAAAAAAAAAACATGTGTTTACTCAACAACCATAATAGTTAATCCACCTAGGTTTCTTGTAGCATCTACAAAAAAGAGTCAATATAAAAGCATGTATTGTCCCAAGCTGTTTATATATAGCACATATCTATCGTAGAGTATCACAAAATAATTATAGAAGCATACCAAACCCAACAAGCATAATAGTTAATCCTAACATAAAATCTAGGGTTGATGCTCTAATAAGCAAGTTTAATGTGTGTTAGGCCATATGGTGAGTCTAAACTAGGCATTAGTGTTACGAATTTAATTTGATTTTGGGTTTAAGTTTACCAGTGAGTGGTTTAAAATATTTTATTTTGCTTTTTAAATTTTGTTATTTCAATTTGATCTTAGGTTTTAAAAAGTGCACATAAATATGCAAATTATTCATTGGCACAATCTTGATATTTAAGAAATCATCG